GCCACGGATCCAGATGAAGGCACCAATGGCCAACTTGACTATTCTTTCGGAGACCACACATCTGAGGCAGTGCGGAATCTCTTTGGCCTGGACCCCAGCAGTGGAGCAATTCATGTCTTGGGTCCCGTAGACTTTGAGGAGTCAAATTTCTATGAAATTCATGCAAGAGCCAGAGACCAAGGACAGCCAGCCATGGAGGGCCACTGTGTGATTCAAGTGGATGTAGGAGATGCCAATGATAATGCTCCCGAAGTGCTACTGGCCTCTTTAGTCAACCCTGTTCTGGAGAGTACACCAGTGGGCACAGTTGTGGGGTTATTTAACGTGCGGGACCGAGACTCAGGCAGAAATGGTGAGGTGAGCCTGGTTATCTTGCCAGAACTGCCATTTCAAATTAAGCCTTCTGAGAACCACTACTCTTTGCTCACCAACCAGCCCTTGGACCGCGAGGCCACATCCTACTATATCATCAAGCTGCTGGCTAGTGATGCCGGCTCACCTCCCCTGCACACACACCTCACTATCAGGCTCAACATTTCAGATGTTAATGACAACGCCCCTCACTTCACCCAGCAGCTCTACACTGCTTACATCCCAGAAAACCGGCCTCCAGGCTCCCTTCTCTGCACCGTGGCTGCCTCAGATCCAGACACTGGGGATAATGCCCGCCTCTCATACTCCATTGTGGGGAGTCAGATGCATGGGGCCCCAGCCTCCTCCTTTGTGTACATCAACCCTGAGGATGGCAGGGTGTTTGCCCAGCGTACTTTTGACTATGAATTGCTGCAGATGCTGCAGATCGTGGTGGGCGTTCGAGACTCTGGCTCTCCCCCACTACATGCCAACACATCTCTGCATGTGTTTGTTCTTGACCAGAATGATAATGCCCCAGCTGTGCTGCACCCACGGCCAGGCAGGGAGTTCTCAACCCCCCAGCGTCTCCCTCGCTCTGCTCCTCCTGGCTCCTTGGTCACCAAGGTGACAGCTGTGGATGCTGATGCAGGCCATAATGCATGGCTTTCTTACTCCCTGTTGCCACAATCCACAGCCCCAGGACTGTTCCTTGTGTCTGCACACACTGGTGAGGTGCGCACAGCCCGGCCCTTACTGGAGGATGACTCTGACACCCAGCAGGTGGTGGTCCTGGTGAGGGACAACGGTGACCCATCACTGTCCTCGACAGCCACAGTGCTGCTGGTTCTGGAGAATGAGGATCCTGAAGAAACGCCCAAGTCCAGCGACTTCCTCACACACCCTCCTGAGCGCCCGGACCTTACCCTTTATCTCATTGTGGCTCTGGCAACTGTCAGCCTCTTCTCCTTGGTCACCTTCACCTTTCTGTCAGCAAAGTGCCTTCGGGGACATGGGGACGGGGGTGGGGGACAGTGCTGCAGGCGCCAGGACTCCCCCTCCAGGGAGTTCTATAAGCAGTCCAGCCCTAACCTGCAGGTGAGCTCTGATGGCACGCTCAAGTACATGGAGGTGACACTGCGGCCCACGGACTCGCAGAGCCATTGCTACAGGACGTGCTTCTCCCCGGCCTCCGACGGCAGTGACTTCACTTTCCTCAGGCCGCTTAGTGTGCAGCAGCCCTCGGCTCTGGCACTGGAGCCAGAGGTCTTCCGTTCCCGCGCAAATACTCTGCGGGAGCGGAGCCAGGTGAGGGCTGGGCGCCAACGCGAGGGCGTCCCCTGGGGGCGGTGTTGGAGAAGCAGACGGTGCGCCTAAGGGACCTGGACTTCACATTCCTCCTCCCAGGCGGCTCAGCTGCTGGCTGTGCTCCACCGCTGCACAGGATCCTCTGGACTGATTGAACCAATCAGAGGCCTGGTTGGCTGGCTAGGGGCACTGGGAGGTGGTGATAAGAGCACAAGGGGACCTTTGCTCCCCCACTCCTGTGCCCAAAAAAGCAGAGGACCTCTGAGCCTCGGTGAATTTTTAGCAATTTCAGTGGGGTCTGAACGTTGGCTGTCAAAGACTTAAACTGCCAGCCTCCTGCACTCCGCTGGTCTTTAGGTCTGGTTTCTTTTTAGTTCCCCAATGCTCTGTTACCCAGAACCTTCCCTATCCCCCATCCCTACTTCTCCCAATCATCTCTGTCAATAGCTCCAACAGGGTGTAGAGCCAGTGACTCCCTGTAATCCCTACAAGCCACACTCAGGACCCCAAACTGGGTACCTGCTCCTTCATCTTACCTGCACCGCGCGTGCAGTATGCCAACAAACAGGCACACTAGGGCCATGGCCAAGGTCACAGGACTGTCCCCAGCCCACTCAGAGCTTGCCCCCAGCACTGACAAAGGCATTCAGGGTTGATGCTCAGGTGAGGGCTGAAGGTCCTCACATGGACCCAGGGGCTGGCATGGACACAGAAGCCTTCTCCCAACCCTCCCACTGGCACCCAGGCTGTAGTCTGCCTTCTCTAAGCTGGCCTGAGCCTTGCTTGGGCTCCTGAACCACAAATATGACACTGGGTCCTCTTGGTGTGGGGTGAGTGAGATTACAGGACCCTTGGACCAGTGGTGCTGCTGGGCCTGGGGCTTAGTACTGAGGCCAGAGGTCCAACAGGCCAGAGGCCTTGGCCAAGCAGGCAGAAGGGTGGAGCTGGTTTGGCCCAAGGTGTGAGGGCTGCGGGGGCTGCAGTCAGAGATCAAGCCTCTGTAGACAGGTAGCTCTTCCTCCTCTCACACATGGTGCTACAGGCTCTGGATGCTTCTAAATAGGCTTTCAGCTTGTTGTGACCACAGCGTGCTGTCAAAGACTTAAACTGCCAGCCTCCTGCACTCTCCGCTGGTCTTTAGGTCTGGTTTCTTTTTAGTTCCCCTCAGTCATCTAGGGTCATGGATTTGGGAGCAACCAAAGTGTCTGAGACTGTACTGGCTAACCCCAGCACTCTGGGAGGCTGAGGCAGGAGGATGGCCAGTTTGAGTTCAACCTGGGCAACTTAGATCCCATGTCAGAATTAAAATTACCATGCCTGGCTTGGTGGCAAATGCCTATAATTCCAGAATTGGGAGGCTGAGGCAGATGGATTCCTGCAAATACAAGTCCAGTCTGGGCTACAAAGTGAGTTCAAGGCCAGCCTGAACTGCATAGTGAAACCCTGTCTCAAAAAGACAAAAAACCAGGGCTGGGGAGCTAGCTCAGCAGTTTAAGCACCTGCCTGGCAAGCACAAGCACTGAGGGAAATAATAGTGTAAGACATAAGTTTCCACAACTCTAGGGGCTTTTACATAAAATGTGTCTGTGTCCCACCTTGCTCTTACTGAATCAGGATTACTTCGAAGCAACATTGAGAGCTCTTAATTCATACTGTTTCCTGGAAAACCAAAGCATCCTGTTTAATTGATTTCCCTCCACCTTTGCTGGATAGGTACTAACATCCCCATCTTAGAACTGAAATTCATGGAACTCAAGTGACTTACTCAAGTTTACAGTAGATTCACAATGGGTGACTCTAACCTAAGCCTAACTTCAGAGTCAGTGCTTTGAATGGTTTGGCACTTGGATCTTGTAAAGCTGGACAGTGGCACCTGCCAGGAAGAGGTAAGGGTGTGGTTTTTTCCCTTTTAGGGCCTTAACATGTGGGGAAATTCTTTGGGGCTGATCATCCTCAGCACACTGTTACCCTCATGTGCATTGTGTTCCACCCACCATGGTCCCACTCCTCCCATGAGGACCCCACACCTCCCTGCAGATTCCCTGTGTTAAGAATGCAATGGTTGGGGCCAGGAAGATGGTTCAGTAGAATAAGTGCTTCCCTGGCAAGCACAAGGGCCTGAGTTCAATCCCCGGTACCACAAAAAAAAAGAAGAAAAAAAAAAAAAAAAAAAAAAAAAGAATGCAATGGTTAAAGGTCAGGCACCTCTCTGCCCTTCTCTACAGCAGTTCCAGAATGGTGCCCACCGCTGCATCCAGTATGGGTGCTTACCACTCCATTTGCACTTGGGATGTTAGGTTTCTCGGTTCTTCACACAGCAGTCACCTGTGGACCTCTGTGTGAGTCACTGGCAGGCCTGCTCTTCCTTTCCCCCAGTGTAATTTGACATGCTCACACTCCCTGCTCCTGGGAGCAAACTTGAGAATTAATTGCCAGCACACCCAGAACCAGCGACTTGGCTGTAGGAGTGCTTCTGGAAGGAGCGTGATGACGCTCACGCTGGAAGGACTGGGACTGACTTGGTCCTGAAGTAGCTGGCAGAGCTCCACAACTTCAGCCAGGTTGTGGGTGACAACAGATCAGCCCCTTGGGAGCCTGGAGACACAGTTGGTTCTGCCTGGAAGCTGTGGGACTCAGGCCCTCTGGGCTTGTCCCAGGCATTTTCTCTGCCCCAGACAGAGTAGCCTTGTTCTCTCCTCCTGAGTCACAGGCCATTGTCTGGCATGGAGTTCTGGGGGTAAGAAGTGTCCCAGGGCTTGGACGCCTTGCAAAGGCCCAGGCTGGCATGACTCCTAAATTAATAATGTATTTAGCTGTGGGAAGATATCCTTGAGAGCCAACGCTGGAGGAGGTGTCCTTCTGAATGTGTCACTGCACAACTTGGCATGAAAAGGGTTACCCAGAGCAGCAGCCATCTTGCTGCAAAGGATGCTTTGTTCCCAGCTGAGGGTCTGAATAATTTCATGCAAGGGCTGGTGGGATTCTCCTCTAAATGCCTCCTGTGCCACTTTTGGAGGCCTTCTCTGTCCCCCTCCCTCCAGTGCCACAAAAGAGCTGTTCAGTCCCTGGCTCCGAAGCTCAGCGTCTGGGAACAGGAAAGAAGAGGCCGTCTGTAGCCACAGAACCTAGATTTGCTTCTTGTGACAGATAAAATGTGGTTTTGTTTTAGACTCTGATACCTCAGACCTTTCAGACCCCTAAGTATTTTCATTTTCTTTTGTTTTCTTGCTCTCTTTGGAGATGAGTACATTCCTTCCATTCCTTCTGTCCCAGGCCCCCAGGGACTCAGGTGACATTTGCCTGCTCAGTACTCAGCCCCTCTCCTTCTGTTTTCTCCACAGCAAGCCCCGCCCAACACGGACTGGCGTTTCTCTCAGGCCCAGAGACCAGGCACCAGCGGGTAGGTGACTGTTGCTTCAGCCCACCCTCTTCTCTGCGGCATTTTCTCACCGATGACGATGGCGCGGGAGGAGATGGGTGGGAAGAGCTGGAGGGAGGGCTGGCCTTCGCTTCAAAGGGCTTCTGCCCCTCAGTCTGAGATCTGGGAAAGGTTTTGTTGTACTGAGGGCTGGTATAGGAGCCCTGAAACAGGAGGCGCTTGCCCTGACTATTCTGCAAGCTGAACACACATACTTGCCTTTCCTTCTGTTCTCCCCAGCCACATGCATGCTCTCCTATCTTCTGAGGGATCTAGGGGACTGGAAGGTGGTCCCTGGATGGGGGAGGCTGTTGATGCTCATCCACTGCCTGCATGCCCCGCCTCCAAGTTGAGCTGGGCTCCAGCCTAACCTGGGGCTGGGACTCCTGCCCTGCCTCCTGTCCCTGTAGTCTGCTAGCACCTTGCCTGCCTCTCTCTTTTATCTCTGGCTCCCTTGTCTCTCTCTCACTTTGTGATGATCTCCACCTCCCCTTCTCTTGTCTTCCCAGGTTCTGTCTTTCTGCTGTATCTCTGTCCCCGCCATCTGTGTCTACTTGCCCTGATTGCCGCCTGCGATGGTGGGGCTGCTCCATAGCTGTGGAAAGAGTGAATAAACGTGGCTCTTAGGCTCCGTCTCGGTTTTCCTTTTCTCTCTCTGCCTGTGCTGGTCCTTGACCTCTTTTCTGTCTCTCCTTCCATTATTTCTTAGTCTCTGTGTGTTCTTGTAGACTTGTCTCCACAACCCTCTGCCTCATGATTCCTGCTCTCCTATCTGTTTTCAGCCTTCCGAAGCCTGTGCCTCTGTCTCCTTTGTGTCCCTCCTTCTGCCTCTCTAAGTCTCTCTTCCTGCTATCCTCATCTGTCTCTTTTCCCTGTCCCCTTCTCTGAGCCAGCCCCCTCTCCTGTCTGTAGTCGCCCTGAGCCAGCACACACAGTCCTGCTCCCTGCCCCCTACACACCGAGCCTTTGATCGCTGCTTCCCTTCACTTAGCCTCCCATCGCAGCTGCCCCAGCTGCTCATTTCAGTCCCCTACGAATTCCTGTGGAGACAGGAACCCCCTGCAGGGGCGGGGGACTTCCGTGGAAAGCCTTTCCTGGGCCTGAGGGGAGACTTGGGCTCTGGGCCAGGCCTCCCTGGTAGAAGCCCAGAGCTGGGAGGAGTTAGCCCAGGAGCTCAGGGTGGAGGCAGGGGCTCTGCTTGCCTTCCCTGCCCATATCTGCCCAGCTGCTAGGCTGCTGAGCTTGGGCTGCCCTTCTCCCCCTCCTCCCCAACCAACTCCTTCCTGCCACAAGAATGCAAAAGGTCTTGGTGTACAGTGCAGATTCCAGCTCCTGGGCAGGCCCAGTCCTGTCCTGGCATTGGGAATGCCAATCACTTCTAGAGAGCCCCCAAAGAGGTTACCACCTGAAGAAGACTAAAGCTGCCCTGTCCCTCCCTCCATCCCAGCTATTTCTCTTTTCCTGCTACCCTTGCCCTGCCTCCCCATAGTTACCCATTCAGTCATTTATAGATCCACCCACCAACAAATGTTTATTGAACATCCACTATGAGCCAGGCCTTGTGCTTTAAAAGTGAACATACACACAGGATCTCTGAACCCACTGTTTTTGAGACCAGCAGAGAGAAACTTGACAACAAATCATGAACACACACACACACACACACACACACACACACACAAACATCTAGTTACAAATCATAGAAACTAATAGAAGATAGAGTGATTTGAGTATAATGGGAATCGGGGAAGGCCCAGTAGGAGGGGACATTTGAACACACCTAGCAGAAGCACTGGGGAATTTGTACGCCCTCTAGCCATCTCCAGCCCAAGTGCTGGACCTGGGAACCCCACTGGTTACTTCTGGTGTGTCCCACAGGATGAGCACCTTACCCTGCTTCAAATCCCTCTCATCAGTGAAATGATTAGCAACCTAGAACCTACAGAGAGCTCTTGAGGAGATGGAGAGAAGGCCCAGGCATTCTCTCATCCTAAGTTAACTTGCCAAGGATGAGAGGCACATTTCTGATTCAGCTCCAAAGCTGTCGAGATAAAACAACTGTTAGGGCTCAGCCAGCAAGTTCCGGCCCCCATTCCATCATCACTGAGCACCTTCTGTAGACCAGGCAGGATACCAGGTGTGCGGGAGATCTGACATGGTCCCTGTTCTCAAGAAGTCTGCAGTGTGCTGAGAGAGACAGACATTAACCAAAGAACCACAAAAAATAAATGTAGGACTGCGATTATCACAAGTGCTTTTACTTGGTGGTAAAAGCTTATAAAATGGATTTGGCCTAGCCAGGGAAGAGGGGGACACCCCGGAGGACATGAGGCCACATTGAGAGCTGACAGGTAAATATGAATCAACCAACTGGAGACAAGGGAAGAGGCCTCTATGTGGAAGGAGGAGCATGTGCAAAGGTCCTGGGGCAAGGCCTTCAGGGTTAACAGAATGACAGAGTTTTCCTTTGCTGCCATTTTGATGAGCAGATGGGAGTGAGGGGACATTTCTGTCATCCTGTAACCATGATTCCAGGCCCCCACTGCCCCACTGGGCCACTATCTTGCCCATTGCCCTGTAGCCCATCTTGTGCAACCCGTCCAGTCAGGCACATGGGGTTTGCAGCAGGATCAATGTTTTGTTTTGTTTTGTTTTGTTTTGTTTTGTTTTGTTTTGTTTTGTTTTGTTTTTTTGGCAGAACCGGGGATTGAACTCAGGCCCTTGCACTTACCAGGGAAGCACTTATTCTACTGAGCCATCTCCCCGGCCCCAGAAGCAGGATCAATGTTGAGGATTTCAGTGAATCTAGTTCAAACTAACACTAGGACACATTGACAGACAAAATAAGAAAAGACATTCTCAAGCCCATGCCTGCCTCTGCCTCCTCCTTACTACTATCCCTTCTCAGGTCATCTTTTTAGCATTTTGTTTTGTTTTTGTACTTGTTTTTTTTGTTGTTGTTTTTTGTTTTTGTTTTTTTTGCGGAACCAGGATTTGAACTCAGGCCCTTGTGCTTGCCAGGGAAGCACTTATTCCACTGAGCCATCTCCTCGGCCCTGTACTTGTTTTTTGAGACAGAGTGTTGGTTGTAGTTCAGGCTGGTGTTGAACTCACTATGTAGCCCCAGGCTGGTTTTGAACTCATGGCAACCCTCCTGCCTCAGCCTCTGGAGTGCCAGAGTTATGGGCTTGCACCACCAAACCCAGCTCATCCTTTTCTGATCCTGACAGCTGTTGTCCCAAGCTCAGAGCCTGGGGTAGCAGCTCTCTCTTGTGGGCTGTAGCCTGCCCCCACCCCCTGCCCTGTGCAGCTGTTCTTCCCCTCAGCCAGCCAAGACGCTGACAAGCTCTGTTTGGCTTCTGTCCCCACCCTGTCCCTTTTGTAGCTCCAAATTGGCTCCAATTTGCCAGCTCCAAAGCCCTTTGCATCCTTTCTTCTCTGAGACACACTCTCCCTCATCCCCTCCCACAGGCAAGCCATTCACCAAAAAGCAGCTTAAATTTTCTGCTTATAAAATGCTAAATGCTTATTATAGAAGCATGAGAAAAAGAAAAAAATGAGAGAAAATAGCCCATCATTCTATAACCCAGTGAAAACCATTACTAATTTTTTAATGTGAAAAACTTCAGATCTATACAAAGTAGAGAGATGGTGTAATGAACCTCTATGGAACTACTGACCGATCTTAGGTCACTTATAACCCTCCTTCATACCCCACTTGGATTTTGCAAAGCAAATCTCAGATACCACATGATTTAATTTGTATCTTTTTGAATACTCTCTTTCTTTTTTTTTTTTTTTTTTTTTTGGCTGAACCAGGGATTGAACTCAGGCCCTTGTGCTTGCCAGGCAAGCACTTATTCTACTGAGCCATTGCCCTGGCCCCTCATTAACATTTTCATATGAATCTTTTATTGATTTTGTGTAATCAAAAAGCATATAGAAGCTTTTTTTCCTAAAATCCAGTTGACTTACATTGTTCAAAAATTTGTTTTTACTCAGAATGTCAAGCACTTTCATTTCCAGTTAGTTGGTATATTTCTTACCAGTATTTTTTAAAATAGAAATTGAGATCATTCTACCCATCAGTATTGTAGCTTATTTTTCTTCCTTAAAATATATGAGGAGAGGGGCCGGGAAGATAGCTCAGTAGAATAAGTGCTTGCCTGGCAAGC